ACCCTTTTGACTTATTCCACCAACATCTCACACTTCTGCTCCATCCTATTCTATCGATCTTTTTGTCTCTCTTCTTTAAAATCGCATGCTCTAACCCGATTTTCTATCGAGATATTTTCATGTGCCGTAAGGTTAGAACAACATGGTTGTCCAGTTTAGACCGAGAAGGAAAGGTCAATTGGTTATTTCGGTTAGAAGTTTTCTTACATGCCTTACCTATATACCCATCCCTTTGAACTCTTCAGAATAATGAAGCTCTTCGAAAATATATTTCTGGAAAGAGCAAAAGCACGAGTTTGTATTGAACTCGACCGCGAGCTCTAGCCTGTGAGACAGGCTCACGACCGCCGGACTGACCTTTCGTAAGTCTTTTTCAGAAAATCGTTTCGCAGTTGTCGAAGGCAGATGCGAGCTCAGCGTCTTAAGGGCACGTATTGAGTTTGTATGGATTTCATTGAAGAAGGCTCCACTGACCTTTCCTCGGTGGGTATCGTCAGCTCACGACGCCGCGACCCCCACACATGTGGCGAGAAATCGCGTGGAACAGTCAGGAGCTGATGGAAATGCAGAATGGCAAGAAATCACGTCTCTAGACGCAAAAGGGTAGAGCAAAACCCGTGTCGCTCGATTCAAATTTTAGTGCACAGGAGTGGGTCCGTTGTAAATTCGTTGCGGGGTTGTGGTTAGAAGATACTCCAGCAAAAATGTTAGAAAACACTAATGTCGATAAAATAAATATTCTGGCAGAAACGTTACAGATGCTACGCCACTGCATCATTGGAAAAGTGTTCAAAACTCAGAGTAAAGTCTCCAGTAGTCTGCTGGTGAAAGGATGACAGTAGGCCGATGTCATAGTTTGCGAATCGAGCGATTCGCTAGCGAATCGCTGGATCCGAGCGTTGCGCCAGCGAATCGAACGTTGCACCAGCGAATCGAACTATGTGCCAGCGAGTCGAACGATGTACCAGCGACTCAATAGTGGCGGGACCCAACGTTCAAAGGAAGTCCCGCCACTTTCAAACAGCGTCGATCGCTGGCAAATCGTTAATCCGCTGCTACATCGTTCACTCCGCTGGCACATAGTTCGATCCGCTGGTACAACGCTCGTATCCTAGCGAATCGCTGGCTTCGCAAAGTCTGACATCGGCCTTAACGAGTTTGTATCACGCGTACACCAGGTTCCGTGGCGAAATAGAACGAAGCGACCGAAGCCCTCAAATTTAGCTCCGACCATAATTAGCCTCCTCGCCAACCCATGCCAGTATTTTTGTAGTCCCTGAGCCATCTAAAATCCGAACTATGAGTTTTTATTTCGCTCGGCCCGTTGTGGCGCACTCTCGCCTGATTTGTGTCCTTCTTTGCTCCTGAGACGTGCCTGGAATATCGTTTCACCGTTGATGCACGGAATCTTGTACTCCGAAGTTCTTTCGCCTAGTAGTAGTCCCTGTTCGATC